CCACTGGCCTGGCCGCTGCCTGTGCACAGAGATCAATTTAATACATCCAGCTCAGAGAATGGCTCGTTTTTCTCAAAAATGACGCTTTTTGATTCTTGTAATACGTAGTCTGTGCTATCAGGACCTGAAAGAGGCGCCATTTGTGTTTCAACAACGAGAGTTATTGATTAGGGATGTAACGATATCAAAATCTCACGGTACGATACAATTTCGATATTGTGGAAAAGCTCACGGTACTGTTAAATAGCTCACGATAGTGTTTGTGATCATAGTAGCAAAAAAATAGACACTTTTTCTGCTTTTGCCAGTCAACAGGTAATTTATTGTTGTGTTTATGGATCATTACAACATAAAACGCTGATCACATAGTGCTTTTAAAGTGCAAGTTGTAGTCAGGAACATCAATATTCTGTTGATTCTTCTGTGAATAATGTTCAAGTTAAGAAGCAACCAGAACAATTGTAAACAATAGGGAAATCCCTTTAAGTGCAAACAAATATCAAGTTAAGTCAGGTTTAAATGTGCAAGGCAAGTAAAAGCAGCCTTTTAAACTGGTATTTAGGAACATAACTTAAATAAAATAGTCAAAAAGCTTTTTTTTGTAAAACACTGACCTATCATTTAGCTTATGTTCACATTTTTCATCAGAAAGATCAAAAGATCTACATTTCAAGGAAAAAAAAGCCTCCTTCCGGGTTTTTTGACCGGACAGGACATTCTTTGTGAGAGAATCTGCAAACTTTTCTGGATGATGAGTCATCAGATGACTTTGCATATTGCTTTTGTTTCCCGTGTTGTATCGCAGTTTACTGTGGCAGTGCTTGCATATAGTTCATTGTCTGTCCACCACCTTCTCGCCTTTTGCGTTTTTTGACACAGCAAAACCAAAATGTTTCCAGACATCTGACCTAAAAGCTGCAGGGGCTGGCACAATCTCAACTTCAGGGTTGTAGTTTTCATTCTTAAAACTATCGCTGTCGGCCATGCTAGCTCGCTTTGAGCTTGTGAGGACAGCGTGCAATCCTATTGGCTTAAGAACGGTTGGTATGACGACGCAGCGCAAAGGATCATGGTCTATGTAGTTAACAATGATTTGTTCTGCGGGACTGTGTTTAATCCTCTTGCTTTTTAACGGACACCTGTCCTTTTATTATTGTAACCCATCGCGATAGCGCGATAATGTCAATATCGTTACATCCCTATTATTGATCTCGGAAGTCCGAATCTGTGAATATCTTTCTAACTTTACCGAAGTAAGGTTTTGCGTTCTCACGCAAAAGGTTTTGTGAGGTAACGCAAAATTTTGCGAGGGAACACAAAAGAAAAAAAAATTCCCCATGTCCCCTAGGGGGCTCCGTAGTGATTTGATTTTAACAGGAAGGAAAGATTGAAATAGTTCCTTTCAGACTGCTGTAAAAAAGGCAGATAAAAGCCAGGTATGGGTAAAACTGGGATTTATGTCAAATTTTTTGCTGTGTGAACGTCACCTTAAACTAGTATCAGTTAATGGTGTTCACATTTATGCAGCTGGGCTGTTTGCTCATCTTTATATTCACTCATTCAGATGTAGTTGTTTTTCAGTTGAATGCACTGGAGATCGGCACATTTTATAAAAGAATGTACTATTGCCTCAACACACAAACAAAAAGCTGGTGTTTTACCAGAACTT